TAAATCTAACCATATGATGTTCATAAAAAAACATGGGACAAGATGTCTACAACTTGCAGCTAAACCATTAATGACAAATAAATCCGTATAAGACGAACTAAAGAGATTGTGATTCTTTGTCAAATCCAAAAGACAAAATGTTATAATTCATTTTAACCAAAAGCAGAATAAAAGGAGGGGTTAAAGGCGCAAAGGCAGCACCAATCCCTATACGCATGCATGCAAAGAAGCGTGCTTCATAACAACAACAATATAAAACACGGTTTCACAATAAAACAAGCGATCGTGCGAGATTGAGCTGTCCAATGTTGACCTTTATTTTCTTTCAGTACTGTTTTAGAATATTAAATTAAATTAAATTAAATTTGTTAAAATCTTTGTGTAAAAGACATATTTTTGTGTAATGGCGGTTAAATAAAAAAATAAAAGATAATGCCGCCACCTTCAAAACACCCGGGTTTTCGGCTGCGAATTAGCCACGGCTCACCAAATTTATCTAAAAGGGTGTTTGATACCCATTGGGAAAATAAATTTTAGAATAGTAAATTGATGGGGAATGGGTGAATAAAAAATAAAAAAAAATTTTGATTTACGTGTAATATTATTTTAATGGAGAATGTGTGGTTCAAAAAAAAGAGAAAAATACATTTTCATAAAATGATAATCAAACAGGGCCTAAAGAATTAGCATCTTTAAAATAATCTTTATTTAAGAGTGTTTTAGGTATTATAGACAGTGTTCTAAAAAGTTCGTTTAGGCGCCATCACCTAGGTTGGAAGCTCGGGCAAAAGTCAAAATGCCTAGCTTTGCATTTTGACGCTTTTTTTTTTCCCTAATTCCTAAACTGTTGAATTCTTTCCTTCATCACTTTCGTCTTCCATAGATGTGCTTTATTATTTTTTTATATTTTTTAAAAAGTCTTTTATTTGACTTTAACTTTTTATTTGAAAAAAAAAAAAAAAACTTGATTTGACCCATTAAACGATTGACTTGTTCAATCGAAGTTTAGCTTGGCTAGTCCCATAAGCTCACCCATTGGCTTGTCCCTTGATGGGGTGAGCCAAGCCAACTCGTACGAGTCAATTAGGAATTTGCACAAGATTTCCTACTCGTTTCATTGTGGGCACTAGTGGGACAAGCTGTTCGTCCAATTTAACACCCCTAAATATAATCACAATTTTGTAACATGACATCCTAAAATGGTTATCAAGTAAGTTGTATTATGTTAAAAGGTAATTGTACTTTAATTTAATTTGAAATGGATAATTCCATCTAATTTTTTTTCATTTGAACTAACAAGAATCAACTATGTGATAGTAAAAATTTGATATTCATCATTCATTTCACTAAAATCATAAT